AAGCTTTTGAGTTCTAATCACACCAAGCCATGCATCTGTTTGCAGAAAACGTATAAACATTTAATCAAAGTATATACTACGTATCAGCTGGAAGAGCATTTGCATGTTTGAAATCCCAGCTGTCCTGGCACGTCTGGAACGCACACTCACTGTGCCATGTCAGGCCGCACCCACAAACTTCAGAAGGCACCGCTTCCTTATTCTGGAAAACTGGGCTGGCTTCCCGCACCCTGGCTGGCCAGCTTGTGGGGAGCACACACTTTAAGAACAATTTCAACTTCCTGTGTGAGTGAAAAGTGGGGTTTAAATTTGGGGGAGGAAGCAGTAGCCAACCTGGTAATTCTGAAGAACAGTTGTGTGCTTCCCATTCACGAAGCGCCACAAAAGAAATTGAGTCATCAGTTTCTCGCTGTGCAAACCCCCAGAATTTCTCTCGGGGCAGAAAAGATCCCCTTTGAGCACTGTGCTTTGTCTGGCAGCATCTGCCACCTGCTCTACTCCTTTTACAAGAGCCACTTCCCTTTTAGGTGCTGGGTGGAGTCAGCTAAACCGGAGGTGCTGGGGAAACGCAGCCACAGCCCCAGCCCCAGCCCCAGCCCCAGCCCCAACTCCAGCCCCAGCCCCAGCCCCAGCCCCAGCCCCAGCCCCAGCCTAGCCAGCAAAGACTACCTCACACCGCCTCCCTCTGCCAGGGGACCCCAGCCTGGAGCCATCTGACATCACAGGCTGATCTGGAATCTCACTTGGCTGTGCACGTGTCACCTGGGGCTCCAGGCTGGCTTTCAGTTCAAGATCTTTGACTTTCATAGAGAACTACGGTATGTCATCCCGGGTCCTCAAGACCTTCCCCCACCGAGGCCATAAAACCTGCTAAGCATCCAGGCTTTCCAACGAGCATTTGCAGAGGGGGCTTTCAGGGTCTGTGCATCTAATGCTGACAAGGTCCACGTGAGAGCCTCCCTCCGCAGAGCCTCTCCCTCATTTCCAGGTGCAGGGCATTGCCCTAACTTGCCTCTGAGACAAGAGGCCGCCTCTCCCTTTTTTCCAAGCCTGCGAATGAGAGCATGTCTAGAAGGGCAGCTGGACTCTGATAAGGCCCTGACTTATTTTAGAAATAAATAACTAGGTTAGTATCTCTTGACAGCTGTGGCCAAACATGAGGGGAGACAGGCCAGGGCAGGGTAGAGCAGGGTAGCCAAGCATCCATAGCCTGCAAAGGGGTGGGGGGGGGGGGGTGGGTAAAAACACTCATGCCAGGCCTCACATTAGCTGGCCACAGGGGTGGAGAGAGTGGGAGATCCGCACACAACTTACACAGTCGCCCAGAGGCAAAGCAATGCAGCTAAGGAGCTCAGGCATCGGAGTCTAACCTGGGGGATGTGAGCCAACGGGGGACCCCAGCTCCATGGCGGTGTGCCCTCGGGAAAGTGACAGCATCTCCCTGAACCCCCATGTCTTTCTCTAGAAAATGGCACTAAATGTATGGAGGCTGTTGTGAGACTCCTATAAGAGGACCTACGCTATCCGTGTCTCTGAAGGCCTAGCAAAGACTTGATGCTCAGTCAGTGGTATTTCCTGGGGACTTACAACCCTACTTTGGGCAGAAGCATACGGTGCAATCGCTGAGAGTCAGGCGCTTAAAACTGGGTGCTCCTGGCTCTCAGGGACCCAGCAATGATCCAGGAGGCCCTGGATGTCCCAGGCGGTACAGAAACTCTTCACTGAGCATCCACGGTGCTTTAAGGTAACACTTTATCCACCTCCTTAGTCTCAGGTTAAACTCAAACTGGGTGTAATGTGGAGTATTACACCACATTGTAATGTAGGAACTGATGCCTGTTTAAGATACTACATAAGGCATGAAACACCAGTAGACCACACGCTGCCCCACCCATGGGAAGGGGTTGAGGCGGAGCTCATGCCAGTGGTCCATAGTGGCATTTCAGTGGCAAGTCATGCCTCTGTCTTTCAGGAGCTGTTTTCTCCTGGGGGAAGAGAAGGGGTTTTCTGAAAGATCCTTGGAGTCCCATCTCTGGGTCTGAGTCAAGAAATACTTCTTGAATGAATGGAAGGGACCTGTCATAAACTAAGAATTTCATGCTGCCCAACATCCCCTCCCGCGTGAGGCCATTTGGAAAAAAAAAAAAAAAATGGGACCTTTTCCTACGGGCTGCCAGCCTCAAACACGCCCACCTGGCGCCCTGCCTGTGCTGGAGAGATGTCCGATGTGTATCGGGGAGGCACTGAATTAGGTGATGCTAACCTCAGCTGCGACGGAGCTTTGCTGCCTTGCTCCTTCATCCGGGAAAACACAGCCGAAGCTCTAATGCCCATGCGGGGTGTCTAATGCTCAGAGGCAGCCAAGGGCACTGCCAGCCCCAAGCCCCAGAGCTCTCGGATGCACCCCTCTTTCTCAATGCCAGGAGCACGATTCCCTGGCAATGGCCTCTGGCAATGGCCTCTGGCCTTCAGCGAGAGGAGATAGATGTGTGCTGGAGGACTTGTTCCACCTGCCCTTGACCCAAGGCTATTTTCTTTCTGCCACATGTGACACCTAGTTCCAGGTATCTGTTCTCCAGCTCAGGATCTCTGGGTCCAATGTGGTTTTTACCGCCATTTAGCCATTTCTCTCCTTTTTGCTTTGCAATACTGAGGTTGGACCTTTCTTCCTCCCCAGAGCCCCGCCCCTTTCAGTTTCCTCTTTGTCTGCTGGAGGCCCCCTCTTTTCCCCCCTTTACCCCCAAAAATGGGCAACAACGGTGCCTTTCCTTCCCTCTCCTCTTTCTGCTCTGCTCTCTTCCTCCCAGCCTGAGTCCACGGAGAACTCATGTCTCTCTCCTTTCCGAGTCTTAGTTCTCTCCGGACAACTTTCCAAGCACATGCAAGCCAGGATCCCGGTATTGCTGCTGGCACTTTTTGTGCTTCCTCCAGATGCCGCTGCCCAAAGGGACCATAAAAAAATGGTGTGTGTGTGTGTGTGTGTGTACACGCGCACGCAAGAGTGAGCCTGCTATTCTCTGGGAGAACCTCGAGGGTCAGGATAGCGCCAACTATTTAAGGAGGGGGTCCCTTCAAAGACTCGGGCAGACAGATTGGCAGAAGCCCGAATCCTCAGAAACAAAGCAGAAGTGGCCAAGGGAAGGTAACATACAACTAAACTTCCCCAGAGGCCCCCTTCTCCCTGTACCCAAGTTTCCCTATTCGCTCCCCTCCCAAGTGCGGCTCTTTGGCTCTCCAGCTTTGGCCTCTACTGAGGCCTTTGGCCCACCACAACTCCGCTTTCCCCAATGCCTTTTTTATTTTGTCCACGCCATACTCAGAGCCCAACATATTCTGTCCAAGCTCAGGCTAGTGGGCCTGCGTTCACATAACACCAATCCACAGGCAAATAAGCATTTAACCTCCCTGAGCCTCCATTTGTAACCCCCCCAACCCCCCTACCCTCACCCCGTGAAATAGGCTAATAGCAGGCCACTTCTCACTGAGCCAGAATGAGGGCAAAATGACATAACACATGTAAAGAATTTAGCACGCGCCCAGGCGCGCGCGCACGCGCACACACACACACACACACACACACACACACACAAAATGCCCTAGCTGGTTTGGCTCAGCGGTCAGCCTGTGGACTCAAGGGTCCTGGGTTCAATTCCCGCCAAGGGCACATGCCCAGGTTCTGGGCTCGGTCCCCAGTAGGGAGCGTGAAGGAGGCCGCCAATCAATGATTCCCTCTCATCATTGATGTTTCTATCTCTCTTCCTCTCCCTTCCTCTATGAAATCAATAAAAATATTTTAAAAAGAATTTAGCACAGTTCTGGGCTAGCAAAGTGTGCAATAAATGCTTGCTAGTGCTTGTCATTCCTATTAGCATTCCTATTATTTCTATTTCAGGAATCTAACTCTGGGATTCCCCACTTTTCCGTGGCTAGGACAGTGTCTTTTACTTTCCTGGTACCCCCAGAGCTGGGTTTAATAAACACTTGCCGGGTAGAATTAACCATAGGCTGAGCTGTCTTAATGACCCAGCTGGCACGCCTTAAAAGAAAAATTAATTTTCCTAGCGATAAGCAAATCAGCCATGTAATTATCTGCACGTATATAGACAAAGGAAAGAAACACCTGGAGCTCAGCTTGGCCAGAATACCTCACACACGGCCACCCCTCCACAACCACACAAAGCCAGAGACCAGGGCAGGAGGGGACCGTGGTGGCCCCAGCTCCGGGGTCCCCGGTGCCCAGGCTCCTGGCCCTCCTCCAAGGCTGCCAGGCAGGAAATATTCGCCACATCACCGTCTGGATTTCCCCTAACGGATTGGCAGAAGCAGGAGTGTCCAAGGGCTGAGCAGCTGGCCCAGTCCTTGCCTTGCCTGCCGCCTGTGGACTCACACTCTCTGGCCCTGGCTGGCACCTCTTGGAGACCCGGGAGCTCCCCCGCGGGGCTGGTTCCAGTTCCCACCAGCGCTGAGAGAGTCCCCCACTGGAGCCAACTGGAAGAGCTTTGAAACCCAGGTGCAATGGGCAGGCGCGAGAAAGCAGGGCCCCTTCCCGGCAAGCTAGCTTGTGGCTCTCGGTTCTCATTCATGCAACTGTGGCCACCTACCTCTGAGGCCACCGGGCTTACAGCCTCTGCCCTGCCCTGGCCCCGCCACAGCCCGGCCAGGCTCCAGCGCCTTTGGGACAGGAGCCGGGGAGCGCAGACACGCTGCGCGCATCCAGGAGCACAGTTCCTCTCCGCCTGGTGCTCTCGCTGGGCGACCTCGCCCAAAACTGCGCGCGGGCAAACTTTCTTCTCTCTTTTCCTTTCCACAAAGCGTGCTCCGAACCAACAAGCTCTCCAACAAGCTTAGCGCAAATCCTAGCCCCCCCTGAACCAAATCCGAGCTGCAGCACCCCCCTTGGCTCCGGTCCCCAGGGTCAGCTCAGGCGGCGCGGCTGCCGGGTCGGTCCAGATGCCTCCGGTCCCTCCCTCCCGCTGCCCCGGCGGCAGCCAGGCACTCACCGATCCTCTGCGCCAGGCTCAGCTGCAGGAGGCAGAGTCCCCACAAGGCGCACCACTCGAACTTGGCCATGGAGTCGGAGCGGATCGGAGCGGACCGAGGAGAGAGAGGAGCGAGCGAGGGAGCGGGGCTGGAGCGTCCCGGCGAGCTGGGCTGGGGGACTGGAGAGATCGGGGCGAGGAGGGCGGCCCGAACCTGCCTGAGGCTGGGGGCTGGCTGGGGGCTGGCTGGGCAATGAGGGCGCCTCGGAAGTTGGCCGCCGTTTTTATTTGAGGGTTGCAAGTGACCTAAGAGGGAGGGAGGGAGGGAGGGAGGGAGGGAGGGAGGGAGCGAGCGAGCGAGCGAAGGACACACCCAGTCGAGGGGGCTGTGACTAAGCAGTCGGCAGAGGTTTGAAAACGTCCCAGCCCTCCTCTGAGCCAGTCCCTGCGCCCTCACCGTGTGCTCTAAGGAGATCGTAATTCGGGGTTTCCTGGGCGGGCGCCCCAAGGGCAGCGGGGGATCCGGGAAAGGGGGTGTGGGGAGGCGGACTCGCAGGCTTTTTGCTCCCGCCCCCGGGTCCCTCAGGGAGGAGGGTGACTGAGTCCTGAAACCTCGCTCCTCTGAGTTCAGCACCTGGCCTCCCCTCTCAGCTAAGTTTCCTTTTGAATTGGGTGGGGGATGCTTGTCTCAGGGTTTCCCAGGCAGCTGGGACAGGAGCTGGGATCCTGGAGCTTCCCCCGCCCAGTGGGGAAGGAGGGGTGAAAGGCTGTGACTCTTCCAGGGGAGAGAGGAAGCGCTCACTTGAAAAAGCAGCCCAGTCCACCTGGCTCAGGAGCTTCGCTTCTTATCAGGACTGGTCAGAGGAAGATGATGGTCAGCCAGGAGACTAGCATCAGCCACTAACCCATGTGTATCCTCCAGGCTCAGGCTGGATTCACCCACCATTCATGCATCCATGCACCCACATTGTAGCCCACCCTCTCCTCCATTCTTCTATCCACTCATTCATCCATTTACCCATCTTTCCTTACGTCCTTCCAGGGCCCACACGTCCATCCATCCTGCTGTCCCTCCATTTATCCAAGCGCTTTCCCATACAACTTCTCAGTTATTTTTCTGTACTTACACACACACACACACACACACACACACACACACACACATTTCATAAACCCTCATCCATCTATACACTATCTAACCTCTTCTCCACCCGTCCACCTAGATATCTATTCATCAGTATCCATGGATCATCCATCCATCATCCACATATCCGCTCATCACTTTACCCGTCCTCTTATCCTCCCACAGTTTCTTTTTCCAACTTATATTCCTATTTGTGCAAACATTAATCCACTTCCTCCCATCCATCCTACCCAGTAACTCTCAACAAGGAAGGAGGTTGTCATATTCTCCAGGAATGCATTTTGAGTTTGAAAAATCACATTTGCATTATCATTTCCTATCTACCTCTAATACAATATGGTTTACTATCTGAAAATCAAAAGTGGTATTTACTGTTCATGTGGATTACTGAACGGAAATCTGAATGGACGTCTTGCCTGGTGAGATACCCAGAAAATGATAGTGGTGCTCAGTGACTGTGGCCAGCCCCTGAAGGAGCCACGTCACAATTTCCGAGGGAACATAACTCCCTTCTGATTCTGTTACTTATTGAAAGAATTTGAAAAAAAATGGAGAGAAAGTGCACTCAGCCATCTGTAATTGATCAGATATGTAATGAGTGCTCAGAGGCATCGGAAGAAATAAGACCTGCCCTGTGTTCAAGGACCTCACACATTGATAGGGAATGAGCAAGCTGTTTCCACACAATATGTGTGTACAGAGTGCTGTCCATCCTAGCAAAAAGAGTTCACTCTTTCCTGGGGAATGTCCAGGGGGGCTTCACAGTGGAAGAGATATTTGAAGAAGGAGAAGGAAGTCTTCAGAAGAAACCACAGGGCCAGAGAGTCCACAGACAGCACTCTGTTGCGATCAATAGTAAGGATTCAGGAGGCAGATTGCCTGGGTTCACACCTTACCTTGGTTGCTTACTAGTTCTGTGGCCTTAAACAAGTCAGTTAGCTTTTTAGTGCCTGGATTCCCTCAAGTCTAACATGGGGTTAATAACAGTATATTTCGTGGACTTGGTAAAGACTGATGAATCAAACGTTCTGCATATATTAAGCACCAGACATATATATATGTGTATATGTGCACATGGTAAGCACTATGATAAGTGTTTGCTTTAATTACTAAAAGCAAACTTGTGAGCAAACATGGAGACATGAAAGGGCATGGCTTGTTGAGGCAATGGAGAGCAATTTGGAGTGACTTGAACATTCGACCAGATGAAGAGTTTGAGGCACACAACAAGCAAGAGGCTAGAGATGTAAGCAAGGGCAGGTTGTAAACAGAAACAATTTTTAAAAAATATATATTTTATTGACTTTTTTCAGAGAGGAAGAGAGAGGGATAGAGAGTTAGAAACATCGATGAGAGAGAAACATTGATCAGCTGCCTCCTGCACACCTCCTACTGGGGATGTGCCCCCAACCAAGGTACAAGTCCTTGACCGGAATTGAACCCAAACCCTTCAGTCCATAGACTGACGCTCTACCCACTGAGCCAAACCGGTTTCGGCCGGAAATGGAATTTTTGGACTGGAACCTGGATTATTTGTCTGTCGGAATCGAAGAGTGAATCCACGGGCAGAAAGTGGTATAGCAAAGGTGGAGATTTATTGAAGAACAAGTACAGACTCCCCCAGGAAGAGAGGGAAAGAGTCCCACAGAATGGACTCCCATGTAGGTAGTGGGAAAGGGTCCCACTGAGTTCCTTTTCCCTGTGGCTTATAAAGGCTGCAGATCCTGGTGCCTTGATGTACCCTCTAATTAATTTTTCACTATTTTTCTAGACTGGTTAGTATAGTAACTCCTGGGCTCAAAAGTCAAACCTCACATGGGATGTGTGAGGTTCTCCTTCCCTCCTTTCTTATTGTTTTCCTATTCCCTTTGGGCTTTCTTCTCCTCCTGGATAAGAGCTTCCTTCTCTTTATTTTGTAAATATAGACCTTCTTCTGTTCCCAGCTCCCTCATTCTATGGAAATGTATCTGTTGTAGCTTTTCAGCTCCCCTATTCTATGGAAATATACCTTCTGCTGCTCTGCAGCCCTGTGCTTCCTCCATGGCCCCCTGAATTTCCAAAATTTCTAAAATTTCCTAAACATGTCCTATTTTACCCCCAAAATTCCTGTTTCAAAACTATACCAGGAAATTTGAACTTGATCCCTGGAAACAGGGAGCCAATGTATATATTATTATTATTAAATTGTTGTTGTTGTTGTTGTTGTTATCTTTGTGCTAAAATACACATAATATAAAATTTACCACTTTAACCATTCAATAGCATTTAATACATTCACAAAATTGTGCAACCATCACTGTTATCTTAGTCCGTGCAGGCTAAATAACAGAATACCACAGACTAGGCAACTTAACAGAAATGTATTTCCCACAGTTCAGTGGGCTAGGAAGTTTAAGACCAGGGTGCAATGTGGTTGGATTCTGGTGAGAACACTCCTCGTATTTTGGGGATGGTCACCTTCTCCTAACCTCACATGATGGAGAGAAGAGAGAAGTAGAGAGGTAAGGGGGGGGCGGGGGCGCACATGTGCGTAGTGGCAAGATCTCTTGTGTGCCTCTTCTTATAAAGGCACTAATCCCATTCATAAGGGCTCCATCCACATGACCTAATTACCTCCCAAAGGCCATACCTCCTAATATCATCACAGTTGGGAGATCTGTGGGGGGAGGGGGGACGGGGGTGTGTGTGTGTGTGTTAGGATTTCAACAGATAAATTGTGTAGGCAACAAACATTCAGCTAATAACAACCACAGTCAAGTTCCATGTCAGTTTTTGAGTTGGAGAGAGCCTGCATCCTGATAGGGAGAATGTTTGGGACTGAAAAATATCACTGAACCTACTCCCCAACCACTCAGCGGGCATTCCAATGATTGAAGGGATGGCCTGTCTGAAAGTGTCTCTGAGCCCCACCTGAAGAGCAGGCTCTTTCAAAAATGCTGTTGTCTTGGTCATTTTCTTGAGACAATTGGAGGGCAAACTGGCCCCCAGGTAGGTAGCTCCTCAGGCATTAACCACAGTGAGAAAACAGCTCTGGTGAATTCTAGACAGTCACCTTGGATGTGTTACCTGCAGGGCACTCGGCTTTTCTTTTTTGGAGGAGGGGAGTGGAGCAGGGTGGATATTCAAACAATGTTTGTCCTACTGCCTTTCATGAAACTTGGAGGTTCCTTGGAGACCCCTCAAGAAACGGGGGTCAAAGCAAAGACTTAATTAAGCATGGGCTGTGCCTCCCTCCCCCTTGTCCCCATCCACCCCCATTCATCTTATACACTAGACTACTGTGTGAGATTTCGTTTTGACAAAGGGTTTTTACTTTATAAACAAATATAAAATCTACGATTACTAAGTCATCTCAAACCTTGGACCCTCCTGCATTTGCACAGGAAGCAGTCAGCAAATGAAGACACAAGTGGACTGTGCTTTGTAAACTATAGAGGGACATGCAAATTCTAAGGATTGTAATTAGGATCATTCTCCCAGTGGGGACTGCTCGGCTGGCCGGCTTCCCGACAGTTTGCTGGGGGACTGAGGTTGTTAGCCCCCACGCCACAACTGACTCATTTCAAGCTGACCTGGTGACTTACTGAGTCAGGGCCAGCCTGAGGGAACTCCTGGATCACCTCTCTGAGCTCCTCGCTCATCTTCCTTCCAGTCCAGACACGCCACCCTCACCACTGGCTCACGAAGATTTTCCCATGCTCTTCTCTGAGCCTCCATACTGACTCAATCCTTAAAGTGACACATTTTAGACATTCAATACCTGTTGTGTGGTGTTGCACCAGATAAGCCAAACCAGGGCAGGTGGGGAACTGAAAAAAGAGAGAGCATGGATTGATCTGGGTTGACAGGAAAGTTGGAGATGGACACAATCCACAGCTGAGAAAGCCCACCTTTGAGCACCGGCTGTCCCTGTGATCAGCCAGTGACCTTACTCTGGTCACTTAACTTCTGGGAGCTTCAGTTGTCTGATGCCCCAAAGAAGACTAAGAAGACCTTCCTCACAGTTTGTTAGGAGTAGTAAGTAAGTGAAAGAAGGCATTAAGACCTTTACGTGGGGCTGCCTGCCTCATTGGGGGACTCAAGGACCCGCCTCAGGCAGGACCCCTGTAGAACAGGCCAGCAGAGGACATTTGGTTCAGGCG